ATTCCCCCTTTTAAATCAATTACATTTCAGCAGCAAATGCTGTTAATCTTTTTTATTTAAAGCATGCATTTGCTGGAGAGGGGTGGGGGGAAAGACATCTTTCTCCTTTGACGTGAGAAGGATTGGGTGAATTGCATTTATTTTTATAAGCACACTTCAATCAAGTCTGACTAAATGTAAATTTTTTGGCCTCTCCTCCCCACATGCCTCGAGTTCCTTCTGTAGCTGCACTCCCTTGCGTTTGGGAGAGGAAGCTGACAAGATAAAAAGTTTTCCTAGTTCACAAGGCTGTTTGTGGTGACCTTTAGTAAATGAAGTGGTGCATTTGCAGATAAGAACAGCGACGTTGTGGGTGGTACAATAGTCACTGCCAAGCCATGTAGATAGGCAGCCCTTCTCCAAATGGCCCAGAAGTAGCGGAGTCAGAATTCGAAATTCTATCTGTTATTACGCGAATACATTGTTTCTTGATCTAGGGGTTGGGACCCCGGGGGCGGGGTCGTGAGGGGTGTGTCAGAGGGGTCTCCATGGACCATCAGAAAACATAGTATTTTTTGTTGGTCATGGGGGTTCTGTGTTGGAAGTTTGGCCTAATTTTCTCAGTGAGGTTAAGAATGCTCTTTGATTGTAGGTGAACTATAAATCCCAGCAACTACAACTCCCAAATGTCAAGATCTATTTCCCCCAAACTCCACCAGTGTTCATATTTGGCCATATTGAGTATTTGTGCCAAGTTTGGTCCAGATCCATCATTGTTTGAGTCCACGGTGCTCTAGGTGAACTACAACTCCAAAACTCAAGGTCAATGCCCATCAGACCCTTGCAGTATTTTCTGCTGGTCATGGGAGTTCTATGTGCGAAGTTTGGTCCAGATCCATCATTGTTTGAATCCACAGTGCTCTCCTCTGGATGTAGGTGAACCACAACTCCAAAACTCAAGGTCAATGCCACCAGACCCTTCCAGTATTTTCTGTTGGTCATGGGAGTTGTGTATGCCAAGTTTGGTTCAGTTCCATCGTTGGTGGAATTCAGAATGTGGATGATCTAGGGGTCTGTGATTACGCAAATCTGCAAAGATCAAACCTGCAGATGTGGAGGGTTCAGAATGCTCTTTAATTGTAGGTGAACGATAAATCCCAGCAACTATAACTCCCAAATGTCAAGGTCTATTTCCCCCAAACTCCACCAATGTTCATATTTGGGCATATTGAGTATTCTTGCAAAGTTTGGTCCAGATCCATCATTGTTTGCGTCCACAGTGCTCTCTGAATGTAGGTGAACAACAACTCCAAAACTCAAGGTCAATACCCACCAGACCCTTCCAGTATTTTCTGTTGGTCATGGGAGTTCTGTGTGCCAAGTTTGGTTCAGTTCCATCATTGGTGGAGTTCAGAATGTGGATGATCTAGGGATCTGCGATTACGCAAATATGCAAAGATCAAACCTGCAGATATGGAGGGTTCAAAATGGTCTTTAATTGTAGGTGAACTATAAATCCCAGCAACTACAACTCCCAAATGTCAAGGTTTATTTTCCCCAAACTCCACCAGTGTTCATATTTGGGCATATTGAGTATTCATGCCGTTTGGTCCAGATCCATCATTGTTTGCGTCCACAGTGCTCTCTGGTTGTAGGTGAATTACAACTCCAAAACTCAAGGTCAATGTCCACCAGACCCTTCCAGTATTTTCTGTTGGTCATGGGAGTTCTGTGTGCCAAGTTTGGTTCAGTTCCATCATTGGGGGAGTTCAGAATGTGGATGATCTAGGGATCTGTGATTACGCAAATCTGCAAAGATCAAACCTGCAGATGTGGAGGGTTCAAAATGCTCTTTAATTGTAGGTGAACTATAAATCCCAGCAACTACAACTCCCAAATGTCAAGGTCTATTTCCCCCAAACTCCACCAGTGTTCATATCTGCAAAGATAAAACCTGGAGATGTGGAGGGCCAAGTGTATAGCAGGAGATAGCGTGATTTAGGAAACTAGGTGAGAGTGTTCTTAACAGACTTGAAATGCTATTCCCAAATTCCTTTTATTGTTTTCCTTCTTTGTTGCACTCTTTTGAACGTGTACCTTTGTGTTCCACAGGTAGCTGTGCCCTCTTGGAAACATTCCTGCAAATAGTTGCACAACTGAGATTTCCCCACCTTTCCTGGGGATTAGTTTAGTTGTCTCAAAGTTCAGCCTTTTTTTTTGTTCTCTGAAAATAGTTATGCAACCTGTTTGATCTCTGGAGAAATCTCAGATAGGTTTTGATCTCAGAAGAACCGCACCCTCTCCACCTATGCTCCGTTTACTAATCTAACTCCAAAGTTCTACATTGCACACACAGAGCAGGGAAACCTAAGCTTTTTATACAATATCTGCCACATGTTTAAGCATTAAGTCGCCACAAGAATCCCATATTGGTGCCGTAGTAAAACATAATACCTATCTATTCCTAGTATAAAAACCAAATAAAGGAAGGAATCCCTCTTTCCTGTGTCATACCTCTTTGCAGGCTTCTATACATTTTTGCAAACTAGTTACTCTTGTTAGCTTCATCACCAGATTGTAGAACAGTGGTTCTCAACCTGGGGTCCCCAGATGTATTTYGCCTACAACTCCCAAAAATTCCAGCCAGTTTACCAGCTMTTGGGGTTTCTGGGAGTTGAAGGCCAAAAACATCTGGGGACCCCAGGTTGAGAACCTCTGTTGTAGAATAATTAATTTTATCTATTAAAATGTTTTAGGCATACTATGAGTCCTCTTCCAAGATGGCACATATCTATACATTGTTCCCTCGCTGTTTTGCGGTTCACTTTCRGTGAGCTCGCWGTTTTGTGGTTAGGGCTGAGAATTAACATTTTTAATATATTTTTATACATTTTGTGGTTTTAAAATCACAAAATGTATGAAAATATATTAAATATATTAATTTTCAACCCTATCCGCTAAACAGCGAGTCCGCGGAAAGCAAACTGCTGCTTGCAGGGAGCTTCTTCTTCCCAAGCTTCTTCGTCCTGCTGCTGGATTGACCAGGGCCAGCTTCCCCACCTCGCCCTGGCCGCCTTTGCAGGGCTGCCCTGGGCTTCTGCAGGGCTTCCGGGGCAAGGTAAGGAAGCTGGCCCTAGCTGTCATGGAGCCCCGCGGAGACCCAGGGCAGCCCTGCAAAGGCTGCCGAGGCGAGGTGGGGAAACTGGTCCTGGCTTGTTGGTTGGCCAACTGGCCAAGCGGTGGGAAACTTTCCACTGGACAGGGGGCTTCTGGGAGGAAGCCCCCTGTAAGCAGCATGACCGGCGGGAGGGTGCCCACTGCCCCAATGGCCCTTGCCCAGTAAGTCAGGCAAGGCATTTCTGATATTAAAACAATGTATAAAATATATATTTAAAATCTATATTAGTGCCCTTCTTTGCAGATTGTCACTTATCGCGGGAGGTCCTGGAACGGAACCCCCGCGATAAGTGAGGGAACACTGTACACATAATAAAACTGAAAAATGTGTATGTGTGTATGTGGCGGAGGTGTCCACTTACACAGACAGCCTCCCGCCTCCACAAACAAGCTATTGTTCCAAGTGCTGAGAAGCCTCTAAAGGCATCCCTCCACTGATATTGCAGGTTACAGCGACCGCAAGGATCATGTAACCCAAACACTGCCAATTTCCTCCCCAAAACACCATACTGCCCACCACCCAAGGAATGCTTTCGTTTGGGGATAATTTCATCCTAGATTGGATGTGTTTCCTCTACCACAGACAGGCATCCCAGGGCTCCTTGTGTGAAATTCGCATAACCCTGCCCATTGCCTCTCCCTTAACCCATTTTTACCATTTCCCATGGCACACAGCAAACGCAGAGGAATTAATCAGCAATTGAACAGACTGGAGGGGTTTGGGGGACTGCCTCAACAAGATGGAAGTTGTAGTTCCATCAAGGCAAAGCATTGAGACCCCCTTCAATAATGGATCTGGACTGTCCTTGTCATATTGGAGTTGTAGTTCACCCTTATCCAGAGAGCACTGAGCCCAGCTGAGGACAGATCTGAACCAAACTTGGTACACACCCCTAACATGGCCAACTGTGCATACAGACCTCGTTTGGGGAGGATTGACCCACAATTCTGGGAATTGTAGTTCACCCACATCCTTATGCATTTTCTAATGGGAGCATTCATAAAAAACCAAATCAAAAACTGCCATTTTTCTAAAAAAAATAGTGTTACTAATTAACTAAATGATATTACCTAACACCCCAAAACAATGCCTTTTTCAAATAACCCAGGCACTGCTGGGTACCCAAGCTAGTAATTAATAATGATCCCATAGCACTTTGTCCTCCAAAGCACTTTACATTTCTTTAGGTCTGCTTGTATGCCCTTCCACAAACACCATTATCACCTTTTTGTCTATGTCCCAGCATTACTTCCAATTTTAACCTTACATTTGGTCTTCCCACTGTTTTTAACTTTGTGTTGCCTTATTGATAATGTTGTATATTTTATTGTCTATGTTTTTTTTATTGCTTGTATTGTTGTTTTATTGCTTGTATTGTTGTATTCGGGCTCGGCCTCATGTAAGCCGCACCGAGTCCCTTGGGGAGATGGTAGCGGGGTACAAATAAAGTGTTGTTATTATTATTATTATTATTATTATTATTATTATTATTATTATTAAATAAATGATGGTTAAAAACTAGCAATCCAGGAATGCAGTTCAGGCAAGGGCAGGAAGAGTGTGGCTTTGTCTCTGTGGTCAAAATTAAGGGAATTTGCTGCTCATCTGTTCTGGGGAGTTCAGACATTAATATAGGTCAAGGGAACATAGAATTTTCTCTTGAGATTCCCCCCCCCCCCCCCACTTTTGTGGGGTTGTCCCCATGCCCCTGACCTCAGTGAATGTGGAAGCCGCACTGTAGTTAAAACACACACAAAAATCCCACAGTACATAGGAGTGTCCATATTTGCACTGTAGGCCAATGACAGTGTTTTACAACATTCTTGTTGTCTTTTTCTCTCAGGTCCCCAGCAGATAGCCGCCAAAATGTTGGATCTTACTGAATTAGTGGATATTGATGTGACTGTAGCGTATGTCTGGTATGCAGTCCTCCTCATTGTAAAAATGATGCTGATGAGCCCCTTAACGGGATTCTACAGAACAACGAAAAAGGTGAGAAGTGATAAAAGGGTTGTCTGGAGATGGACCCCCTCCCCAATGGTGGTTTCAGAGACCAGAGCTAGAAAATAACCCATCATTGTGCCAGGAGGATCTCTGAAAGTCTCCTCCCCTTTCCCCTTTTTTTGTACTACAACATTATTTTCTCCAGTTTGGTATGAGATTCTGTCCCCTTCTATATGTTGGACTATAGCTAACTGTTTTATATCTGGCATTGAATTTCTGCTGTTCTTGTTGGTTGTGAACCGCTGTGAGTCGCCTTCGGGCTGAGAACAGCGGTATATAAGTAAAGTAAGTAAGTAAGTAAATAAATAAATAAATAGCTCCCAGTAGTCCTAGCCATCATGGGAAGATGATGAGCAAGATTTCTCAACCAGGATTCCTGGAAAACAGTTTTCTGAAACAGACTGCTCAAGGTTCTGCAGAAGATGGTGACCAGGAGAAGATTTTTTTTTTTTAGTTGTCGATATAATTATTATGCAAGGGTTTCCAGGGGCCAGAAAAATATTTCAAGGGTTCCTCCAGAGTAAAAAGGTTGAGAAAGGCTGATTTAGAACATGCAATTCCAGGGAGAAGCTCAACAGAGTTTTTGCAAGATAGGCTGGAGAGCCAACATGACAGACCCCCCAGGCTTAAGGTCTTGCTGCTAAACACTAGGTCTGTAAATGGTAAAACAGTTGCCATCCAGGAGTTGATCTTAATTGAAATAAAGGAAGGAAAAACAAAAAAACAACACCCTTAGGGAGGTTTGGGAAGAATATTTAGGGATAAAAATAAATGAAATAGAGTGGCAACAATTATGGAGACAAAGACATCTAAAAAATTATCAATACGGGTTAAAGAAAATTACTATAAGTTAATATGGAAGTGGTATCTAACACCAGTAAGATTAGCACATATAAATAAAAATTATTCAAAAAATTGTTGGAGAGGATGTCAAGAACCAGGAACATATATACATATGTGGTGGCAATGTAAATATATAAATAATTTTTGGGGGAAAGTATTTAGAGAAATAGAAGATATAATGAATATTAAAATAGAAAGAAGTCCTAGTATAGCTTTATTATCATTATATAACAAACAATTGAAAAAAGAGGATAAAGAAGCGATAACAAATTTATTAACAATAGCAAGATTGCTTATAGCAAGGAACTGGAAAAAAGAAATAAATATACAAATAGAGGAGTGGTATAAGGAAGTACGGAAACTGGCAATAAATGATAAGCTGACATGTATATTAAAAGTTAACGTGTATATTAAAAGTTAAAAGAGGTATATGGAAACAAAGTGATTTTGATGATGTTTGGAGAAAAATTATTATAATAGGATTAAAAAATAAAGAAGGAAAGTTACCTCCACAAGAGGAATTGAAATTTTGGACAGACGACATGTAAAAGTTGTGGCTTGAGGGGCGGGGGGGAGGAGAGCACAGTGGTGAGGAATAGAAAATATGTTTAAGCAGAATAATAATACTAGATGCCAAAGTATGTTAGGCTGTATTGAATAATATGTATCTGCTGTAAAACAAATGTATAACAAATGTATTAACTATGATAAAATAATAAAATTATTAATTAAAAAAAAGGAGTTGATCTTGGATGAACAAGTGGACCTAGCTTGCATGCATCACCGAGACCTGGTTGGACAAACCGGGGGGAGGGGGGGTTAACCTCACCCAGCTCTGTCCGCTGGGCTTTGGGGTGCACCAGCAGGCCAGGCTTGGTGGGGGAGGGGGGGGGAGGTGGGTTGTTTTGATCTATTGTGAGTCCATCTCCCTGATCTGATGCCCCGTTTTCCAATTATCTGCGTTTGAGTGTGTCCATCTGAAAGTGGGTAACCGGGACAGTTTGGGGATTCTGCTTGTGTTGCCGATCCACCCTGTTTTGAGTTGCTTAGAAAATAATATAAAATAAACACAAGATTTGGTCAGAGAACATATGAATCAAATCTGTTAATAATCAAATCTGTAAAAGTAAAACCTGTGTATGTGGGGGGCTGACTGCAATATTGATAGGTTTTTTGTTTTTTTGGTGCACGATGGGTGGTCCTAACTTTTGCCTAAAGATCATACCTTTTCGTGTCTTTTGTTCTGTGTGCTCTTGTCTCCAATAGGCCTTTGCTAACCCTGAAGATGCGGCTGGATTTGGTAAAGGGGAGAATGCAAAAAAGTTCTTGAGGACTGATCCAGACGTGGAGCGTGTGCGCAGGTAACTGAAAGCATTTCCAGGGTAATTGAGATGCTTTAACACTCATTCACCAGGGTAGGATATTTTAATGCCACTGGTTCAGGTTTACTGCACAATCTGTGAAGTGTTAGATCTAGGCCTTGGCATTGTGTGACTATAGAAATAATGTAGTTTGATACTCCATGACTGCTATGGAATCATGGGAGCTGTAGTTTTACAAGGTCTTTAACTGCATTGAACTGTATTATATGGCAGTGTAGAGTTATGTAATGTAGTTCAGTGCTGTTAAACTGTATTATATGACAGCGTAGATGGGTTCCATGTTAGCATGTCCATGTGCACGTTGCCACCGTTTCAGATATGAGCAGTAACAACATGCAGTTAGGTGAAGCCATGAGTCAAGATCCCGTTGTATGTGCCATGAAATGGGAAAGACGGTCAAACCACAAAAACCATACCATGTTTTAAGTGCAAGCAAAAGCTACTACAAATGTATTTTAGAACCCATATGGTCAACTTATAGACCATGTTTATGTTCTATGTATTTCCCACTTTTCTTTACCTTCTCCCTTCTTTGCATTATAATTTTAAGTATCCTTGAGAGTACTCTTATTTTCCTTTCTTACTCCTACGGCGGAAGGGAACCGAACTGGAAATATACCAGAGCATACGAAACATCTTTGTGAGGTGGGATGTGACAGTCAGCATTGATAAAGGCAGGGAGAACCTGGAAAAATGTTTGTTTGTTTTTACCACAGTCTGTGACCATATTTCTGAGGATTATGGAAGCACTAGTCCAAAAAGGAACATTTCCAAGTTCTGTATTACTTGGTTTGGTATCAATAGGGTTAGAATTTTATTTAATTGTGTCAGAAGTGACTTGAGAAACTGCAAGTCGCTTCTGGTGTGAGAGAATTGGTTGTCTGCAGAGACGTCGCCAAGGGGACGCCTGGACATGTTACCATCCTGTGTGAGGCTTTCTTATGTCCCCATATGGGAAGCTGGAGCTGACAGACAGGAGCTCACCCCGTCTTGTGGATTTGAATCGTTGACCTTCAGGTCAGCAGTTCAGTTGGCACAAGGTTTTAACCCATTGCCCCACCACGGCTCCGCGGTTAGAATCAGTGATAAATATGAAGGGTTTGCACCATTCCAAACTTGGATCTGGGAATTATTTAGCCTCTGAACGCTGCTAAATGCAGCTCCCAGTGTTCCTCACGTTTGTCTGTGCTGGCTGGGGCTAGAGAAAGTTGCAGTTCAAAATCCCCTGGTGGTCCATCCAGATCACATTCCTGTCTTAGTATTTATTATTTATTTCATGCATTTCAAACTACAAGAAAGGAGATTCCATCTGAACATGAGGAAGAACTTCCTGACGGTGAGAGCCGTTCAGCAGTGGAACTCTCTGCCCCGGAGTGTGGTGGAGGCTCCTTCTTTGGAAGCTTTTAAACAGAGGCTGGATGGCCATCTGTCAGGGGTGATTTGAATGCAATATTCCTGCTTCTTGGCAGTGGGTTGGACTGGATGGCCCATGAGGTCTCTTCCAACTCTTTGATTCTATGATTCTACCCTGCCCTTCTCCCCCCAAAGGGAAACTCAGGGCGGGCTCACACAAGAATCATACGATGCTATCAGCATATAAACAATCAAAAATTGCAATTTAAAACAGTAAAAAATCATTAAAACACATTATACAAATTAATTAACAATAAATTAAACATGCCAATAAAACCAAGTCCAAATCAGGGTAATTCCAATGTCGCAGATATCCTAAGTTTTCTTGCCAATTGCCGCTATCCACTAATTGAATGCCTGGTCCCAAAGCCAAGTCTTCAGTTGCCTTCTAAAGGACAGGAGGGAGGTGGCCAACCTGATGTCCTTAGGGAGAGAGTTCCACAGACGGGGGGCCACTGCCGAGAAGGCATTGTCTCTCGTCCCCACCAACCACATTTGCGAAAGTGGTGGGATCGAGAGCAGGACCTCTCTTGACGATCTTAAGCTTCGTAACAGGAGATACGTTCAGACAGGAGATAATGTTCTTGAAGTTGTATTTGCATGCTTTGTGCAGAGATGCATTAATATGAGTATTTTGTTTTATGTAGCAGTCGATAAAGCCATGGTCTGATTCATCTTTCCTTATTTCCCCAGAGTCCATCTCAACGACCTTGAGAACATTGTCCCATTCCTTTTCATTGGATTCTTCTACTCCTTCAGTGGCGTTTCCCTCTCCACTGCCTTGCTGCATTACAGAGTATTCTTTGGTTCCAGGATCTTCCACACTATTTCCTACCTTATCCCTCTTCCCCAACCCTGCCGGGGTGTGGCTTGGTTTGTGGGGTTCTTAATTACCTTTTCAATGGTGTACAAGCTGGTAATGGTGGGTCTGAGCTTATCATAAAAAAACCAAGAAGCGTCAAACCAACCTATACGTACCAACATTTCACTGTGATTTTCAAACTTTCTACCCTTGGGAAAACCTTTCTTATTGATTGTTCTGTGCCAGATCCACTAAAGGCGTGCTAAGCATTGTGAGACATATTCTAGATCAGGGTTCCTCAACCTTAGGTCCCCAGTTCTTGTTGGACTTCTGATCTAAGAAGCACTTATTAGCAAAGGGAATGAATTGGAATTCTGGGAGTTGAACTCCATCAACATCTGGGGAACCCACAGTTTGGGATGCTCAGTGCCAGTCAACCATTTTGGACCTCACTACTCCTCACTTGAGCTAAATGTGTGAACCAGAATACATCTGAAACTATGTTGGACCAGCACATTCCAAGAAAATATTGGTAAATGGAAAGCAGGACAATTTGTTTACTGGTGCTTCCTTATAATCTATCACTGGGTGGAACACTTACCTTGCATACAGAAGATCCTACATTAGATCCCTGACATATGCATAAATTAAACCTCCAAATGTGAAGGGGCAACTGTACCGAGATAGTCCAGTATGTCTATACCCAATGTGCAAGTACGGGCTCTGATCTAGTTGCTCGTCCCAACTAGACTGGATTCACTAAACCAAGTTATGGACTCATTGGGATTTAGGCCATGATAACAAATACGTTATTATGGCTTACATCTAATGATGTGAATACACAATTCCTGAGGTTGTTCAGTGGATCATATTTGGGAATGAACACTGTTGGATGGATGCAGGGCATGCTCTTGATTCCAGGTGTGTGGCCCTTTCCACTTCACGTGTTCACCACCATCCTCTTAACAAAGCTTTTAGATCAGTGGTTCTCAGCCTGTGGGTACCCAGGTGTTTTGGCCTACAACTCCCAGAAATCCCAGCCAGTTTACCAGCTGTTAGGATTTCTGGGAGTTGAAGGCCAAAACATTTGGGGACCCACAGGTTGAGAACCACTGTTTTAGAGTATGAGATCCTCAAGCCTGTTGAACAAATGGTGTCAAACTCAATTGTATTAAGTCAGATTTGGGTTGATGTGCACTTTTGAGGTGATTGCAAAAGTCACTCGGAGATAAACAAGAGTTCAGAAAAGTGTAAGAATGTTAAGGTGTTCACTGTTTACATTCCTTACATCCTGTTTAGCTTTCCTTGAGTTTAGGCTGAATTTAGGTTGGCTCTTCTAGTTTCTGGTTGTTAACTTTGAATATTATACACCATGTTTTATAAACCTGTTGAAGAGAAAATGTTTCCCTTTTACCTTCACCTATAGGCTTGTAATTGTAATGTGTAACAATCCAACAACTGTCTATTGATGGCATGTATGTGATTTTCCCCCCACTATGGATGCTATTTTGGGATATCTCTTTTAGAAGCCCATATAATAAAGACAACAGCAAAAAGAAGAAGAAAAAAACCTGTGTTTGCATTTTTGGGCCTGTTTTGCCCTCCCTTTCCCTTTCTGTATCTGCAGTCAGCAAATAGGATGTCACAATGAATCAGTGTTTCAAATCATGGAATTCTTTGAAGAATATTTACCTAAATAATAAGGTATCTCGAACAACGCCAAGCCTGGTTGTAAAGGAGACTTTGATGCAAATAGGTGTTTGTAACCAACTGCTTGAAAAAACGGCAGGGAGCACAAATTTTCTTTAAAAAATGAATGTTTTGAGTAACATTTATCACAGAATTAGAAGATTTAGCCTGTGGAACGATTTTCCTTTTTTGTAAAAAAAAGAACTAGATGTAACCACCATGCATTGCTGTGGACAATCTTCCCTCCTTCTTCTCCTTTCTTTGCTTGCTTGCTTGCTTCCTTCCTTCCTCCCTTCCTTCTCCCTCCCCCTTCTTTCCTTCTTTCCTTCCTTCCTTCCTTCCTTCCTTCTTTCCTTCCTTCCTTCCTTCCTTCCTTCCTTCCTTCCTTCCTTCCTTCCTTCCTTCCTTCCTTCCTTCCCTCCTTCCCTCCCTCCCTCCCTCCCTCCCTCCCTTTTTTCTTTCCTTCTCTCCTTCCATCCTTCTCTACCTCTCCTCCCTTCTCCTCCCTTTTTCTTTTTCTCCTTTCTTCCTTCTCTATTATTGGACTGTAACTCCCAGCAGTCCTTCTGATTGATCTATCTACCTGCTATCTATCTCTATCTAAACTATATATCTTATCTATCTGGAGGATTGCTGGGAGTTGTAGTCCAGGAATAGGAAATATGTACAGATTGGGATACACTCAAAGAAATCCAAGGAGAAGCTAGCTTGCAGCTTGGAAGCAGTGCATTTGGAGCATCCTCCTCCTCTAATGGGCCTGGTCTAGGGAATGCTGGGAGCTGTCATTTTCACACATGCACTGTATTGGCATTTAGCTTTTTTGGGTTTTTAAGTCCTTTCTGTTGTGTTTTTGGGAGGGGGTTATGAGTGATGGCCACTTGCTGGTCTGTTAGGGGTGTGGTATCCAAATTTTGTGTCAATTCAGTGTTTTTGAGTTATGTTTATCCCACAAAAGAACATTACATGTATATTTTTATATATTGGCATTATGATGCTCTGTGTTATTCAGATCTCATTGCAGTACTGACATAATGCATGTCAAAAACAGCTCTGCCAAAAGTTTTTACAATTTACATATATGCTGTAATTGTCTTCCAAATTGCTCGAACACGCTGCCCATGTTTATATGTTCCATTGGTTGCAGAACAACAAGGCTCCATACTCCACTCTAGGTGTCCTATTCGTTTTCAAATAGAAGTGCATTGAGGGGGGGGGGGGCTTCAAATAATGCCCGACCTCACTGGAGGGAAGGATATTAGGGGCAAAGATGGAGTACTTTGGCCACATAATGAGAAGACAGGAAAGCTTGGAGAAGATAATGATGCTGGGGGAAAAGGAAGGAAAAAGGAAGAGGGGCCGACCAAGAGCAAGATGGATGGATGGTATCCTTGAAGCAACTGGCTTGACCTTGAAGGAGCTGGGGGTGGCCGCGGCCAACAGGGAGCTCTGGCGTGGGCTGGTCCATGAGGTCACAAAGGCAGAAGCAACTGAATGTATAAATAACCCAGCTGGGAATAAGTATCAGAATATTCCTAGGAAATGGTAGTTTTGCTTATACAGAAGTTGATCATAGAGTCGCAGTGGAGGACCTTGAGATTTCTAGAGAGACATCACAAATAGTCAAATCCACAAAAGTTAAACATGTGAATGTGGAAGGTTTTTAAAATACCCCCCAAAATGATGTCTCAATGTACTTAGCAGTCTTCAAATTGGAGACTTGCATTTAATCCAACTTGCAGTTCAGACTATTTTAGACATGTAAAAAACCCCCATGTATCCATTCTCTTTTCTTCCTATTTTCCATTCAGCAAGTTTGGATTTCTCTATTTTTTAAAATTAAAGTCCTTACTCAAAAACAATGGTGATGGAATATAGTTTTATGTTGGAGATGACTTGCTTTTGAAGATCAGGAATTTAAATGCCTTTGGGCTGTCCCCCAAGTTATTTGGATAGTTCTCCTCTAGTAATTTTCATTAAAAGTGAGGGCAACGAGATATTTAATTTATGAGTGATCAAGATAGTACTGATACAAGAAACAGTTGGCATGTTTACATTGTTCAGCCTGAACAGGTAAGAGCTAGAAGTTCTGGCAAGAGTTTGTGGTGTTGTGAACACACCTTCACTTCAGTCTGCAGGGCAGAAAGGTTCGTACAATTTTAATGCCTCTAGAACATGGCCATATAGCCCGAAAAAACCCACAAGAACTGAGTGATTCCGGCCATGAAAGCCTTCGACAATACAATTTTTGGTAGTGTTCAAAATTTATTTATTTACCACATTTATATCCCTTCTCAACCCTGAAGGGGACTCAGAGAGGCCTTACAAAGGCAACAATTCAATGCCATACATTAATACATCGGTAAATAAAAACATTCAAACCAACCCCATTAAAAACAGCATTAAAACATCAATTAAAATCACATGATCCAAATCATTCCAGGGCCGGTCTGGGTTGTTATATTAATTTGCGGTCTCATACTACTCCCATTACTGGCCGAAAGCTTAATCCGAGTCGTGTTTTTAGTTTTTCCCCTGAAGGTCAGGAGGGATGGGGCAAATCTAATTTCATTGGGGAGGAAGTTCTATAGGTGAGGGGCCACCACTAAGAAGGCCCTGTCTCTCACCCCCAGAAGTCGTGCTTACAAGGGGGGTGGGACCGAGAGCAGGGCCTCCCCCGATGATCTTAACCTCTGAGGTGGGTCATAGAGGGAGATATGTTCAGACAGGTAAGCTGCCCAGAGAATTGTTTAGGGATTTATAGGCTAAATCCAGCACTTTGAATTGGGATTGGAAGCAGACTGGCATGTTCTACAAACCTGTAGATCAGTGACTTTTAATGTCTTCCTTAAAAAGACCACCTGATGCACAAGAGGAATGCCAACGAGTCATTCAGTTTGCAAACGTGTACTTTATTCATAGCAAGATTTGAAAAACTACATTTCACAACATGCCTGAAGTCCCTGCTGGGGCAACTCTTAGCATCTAACATTTGTGTCAAGAAAAAACAAGGCTTGCAAGCAAAGGGAACACAGTTATCACGCTGAATCATTAATATTTTGACTTAGCAAGGCCACACGTCCTCCCAATAGAGTCATTAAGGGTATGCAGAGCTCTGGTTGATAAAGGAAGCATCCTAGATGTGCATATCTCTGCTCAAGGTTCTCTTGTAGCCTTGCTGTGTGGCCTTCTAGATGATGGAGCCCACTTTCCATCAGTTCCAATTAGCATGATCAAGGGCGATGGAAATTGTAGTTCAGCAACATCTGGAGCTTCCCAGCTTTCTCACATCAGGTCATGTGTTTATTTGTATTCAACCTGCATTCTGGTGTGTTGGATCATTAACTCCTATCATCCTTGGCCTTTGGGTATGATAGCCTTGATGTAAGGACATTGCTTTGGCAACAAAGTTCTTTAGAAGATCAGAATAATTGGAGTTGTTCAGATGTTAGAAGATGCATCTAAAACAGGCATGTGCAAACTTTAGCCCTTCAGGCATTTTGGACTTCAACTCCTAACAGCCTACTGTTTGCCCATGCCTGATCTAAATTATTCTACTAACATAACAGACATCTACACAGAACCATTGTGTTTTGTATTTAGTGTTCTTTAAAAAAATTGTTTTAGTAGACGGAGCTAGACTTTGCAACATCAGGAAATTTAATCAACAGTAATGAGAATGATTTAAAATAATAAAAACATTATTAGACATACATACATACATGCATGCATGCAATTACAATTTATCCCCTTGAAAACAGTCTCCTTGTGATTGAATGTATACTGGTGCTCCCAAGATGTGGACATGACATTTCATTGCAAGCGTGTTACATGAAGCAAATCCCATGGCACCTTCAGAATGGGCAGTGCAATCCTTTAAAAACGTGTTTGTTGTCGAGCATTAGAATTACCTAGAACTGCTGTGCTATGGAAGAGGTGGAGAAGGGGTAAGGCAAACAAGCAGCAGGATTACACTAGAACAAAACCTCACCTACAGTACTGACATAGAGTTAGGCCAGACCCATGGTACCCCTAAGTCATTTCCAACACCCCTAGGCTAAGAGGTTTGAATTCAGCACAGCTTTAGTAGGACTTGCATGAATTCAGGTGGATCTCGGTCTTGTTTGAACTCTGGGATTGAGCGTTAACACATTTATACAACTGAAGATTCATGTGAATGTTGCCTAGTACAAAACCAAACGTCTGGTGCCCAAAGTACACTATTGTCAATAACATCTCCATAATTTCTGGCAGTAATCTTTTGCAGCTCTATGCCAGGGATTGAACCTGTGGTGGCTTCCATGACAAGCATGTGCTATATCGCCACAGACCCTTCTCCTGGTGACCACCTGTAATTTAAATAAAAAAGAAGGGTGTGGATGTGTCATGAAGTGTGAGTTTGATTCTTTGGTACCTTTTGGGAATGAGTTAATAACATGGTCATGCTTTGCATGCAGAAGGTACTTGCCCTGGAATCTCCAGGTAGGACAAGATACCTGTTCAGGTTTGGTTGGGCACATTTTGCTGACTGGTATTAAAGACAAGATGGCACTTCCAAGTCTATACAGAAGTTGATTAGAGTGCACATTGAACTCAGCACATCTGAGTCAACAGGCCAATTTCATGGGCAAGATATACATAGTTCTGTTTTCCTACTAAAGAGAAACATTGAGTACAATTAACCTCTATGCCTATGGATCTGTCATCCATGCAAACCTTGATTTTTTTTTCCATTTTAGATAAGATATATCATTTTACTGTATTGTTGTTTATAAGGGGACTTGAGCATCCACAGATTTTGGTGTCCATGGGGATGTTGAAATCAAAACTCACTAGATGCTGTTCATGGAAATAGCCAAGAGGATGTTATTGCTGCCTCCTATC